CAGAGACCCCACAACTCCCTATTGCTATCAAACGCATGGAAGAAGAAAACCAGCTTTACTCAGTACCTGCCAGACACTGGGCTCTGTGTACACATTGGCTCATTTAATCCTTCCAGCAACCCCAAGTGGGTGACATTACTATCTTGGTTTACCAGAGAAGCTCATGAATTTGAGCAACTTGCCCAGATTATACAACCAGCAAGTCATAAATTCAGATTCGAATGCAGGCCTGCCAGATTCTGAAGTCCACACTATTTCCACTATGCCATTAGTGAAAGGGGTAGGTCTTGATTAGCCTAGGCATTAAGGAGGCCCCTCTGCAGCAGTGTGGAAGAGAAAATAGAAGGGCAGGAGAGCAAGTGAATGGACAATTAAGGTAGCACAGGAAAGAGGTCGGGCAGATGCGAACTCAGGTAGCAGCCTCGAGAACAGACAGCAGATCAGGGCCGGCTGGGGGAGACAGGACAGAGGTCACTGAGGGTGGGCAGTGATCTCTGCAAGTGTTAGGGAGAACACAGAGGAATAGGCGGCCTGGGATGAGTGAAACATCATGGCACTCTTGAAGGAGCTCCTGAAACATCATGGTGAAGATTCTGTGTATCACAAATCAAACTGGCCAAGAAGAGAGCTGGGTGAGAGACGGAGACTTGATCAGCCTTTCCTTAAGAGTGTTGGTTAACCCTTGGGTGCACCTTTATGCTTCTCTCTAAGGAGAGAAGCATAAAGGTGAAGGCCAGCCTGAGGTCACAGCCTTGCCCCCACACCGGCACTTGCAGGGCGGGAGGAGGACGAGAGAAGCTCAAGGTCAAGGAATGGAATGTCAGTGGGGATGGTGTGGCACCCTCCCAAGAGAGGGGCAACAGCTGCAGAGCAGGCTGGCGACTGAGGATTACCAGGCCCTGGAAGCCTTCAAAGGGCAATCTGAGCAGCATAGCAGGTGCACAGTGTTCAGCGAGCAAGAGAGTGCAAGTGGGGCTACTCTTTCCAGAGCTTGTCAGTGAAAAGGAGAGGAGAGGCCCTGGGGGAACAAAGACTGAGTGTGTGGGGGAAGGAAGGAGTCAGTGGCCAGGGGGTAATGGAAGGAACCATCTCCAAGAGAGGAGAGAGCTGAATCAGGCGTGTGGGTGGAGAAGGTGCTCCCCTGTTGGTCAGGAGAGGACCTTTTCCTTGAGAAAAAAAGCTGTGGGGGAAATTCCAGGGATGCTCTGAATTGGTGAGGAGGGAAGTCGATGGAGCTGTGACAAGTAATGAGGCATGGGGATCTGTTGAAAGTAAGTGAGATGGGTACCCCCTCTCTGCTCACACCCCCCCAGGGAGGGGCACTCACCGGGCTGTCATTTAACACCAGGCCCACAGAACCTGCACAGACATTCGGACGGACACTGTTCTTGCTACAGTGCGATCTAAGTATGCACCACCATCTGCCTCCAGATAACAGTATGCAGAACGTGCTCGTCGCTGTCACTGCAAATGGACTTCGGGTTTTTCTATCAGGACTGAAGAATATTTTCACTTTTATTTCCTCCCTGGTCCTCCACCCCACTTCCTCACAAGACAGGGTTCATCGTGGGCCATGTGGGTCGACTGACTGCTGTTTGACCCTCCAAATAAAGCTTTCCTCTGGGCAAAGCAACAAACTCACGGGGGCCCAAGGATGGCCTCAGTAGCAGCAGCCCTGGGGATGGCTTCTGCCCCTTGACATGTTCTCCTCTACCCCCAAAACACACACAGATACCCACCCGCTACACTCTGCTGGGGTGGGAGCTGCTGTCCCAGATGAACCTCAGAAAAAGCCACCATCTGGGCAGGAAAAGCTCTTCGGACACTGGGTCTGCCACTGCCCCCCCTTCCCCTGGTCTATTAGCTCTTAAAGACCCCTGACCAGTGACAAAGGTGTCAGGAAGCCTTTGATGAATGCCTTTCTGGTTCCCTCACCCTCCTCCTGCCCAGAACCCTAGCTTCCTCTAGCTGAAATACAATGAGAAGAACATAAAAATTGGAGTCTGAAGACTCAGACTGGGGTCCTGGTCGGTCCCTACGCACCGTGAGATCTTCAAGTCACTTCTGAGCCCCAGCTTGCAACCAGGTAAAGTGGAAGGAACAGTACCCGCCTCTCCCTTCTCTTGGGGAGGCAGGGAGAAGTTAATCAGGTGTACAGTGCTATTCTGATTTCTGGGATCTAAGCAAGTCCTGATGGCAGCTCAACCTCTCTCTCAAGAGCCCCACCCAGCACGTTTCCCAGCCATCAGTCCCTGGAAGCTCAGAGCCCAAGAAAGACACATCTCAAACGAATTCAATGTAAACATTTTTTAGGCCTACTCTGTGCCTGATTCCAGGATACAAACAAGAACAGACACAAGTTTTGCCCCAAGTTCCTGCAGCTGGGGAGAGCTAACAGAGTGGGCGTCTGTTCATGCAGTGGCCAGGGCAGTGTCCAGGAGAACTTGCTCCCTGTTGTCGGGAACAGACCCTACAGGCATGAGCAGAGTCTGAGTTCCCTGGCTAACCCTTCCGATGGAGGAGGAGGTGGGCAGATTTAGCTCTTGGAGAATCCAGGGTGAGGGTCCTACAGCAGAGGAACCAGAGACCTTGGAGACCCCGGCCTGGCCCGGCAGTGGAGCCTAAAGGGTTTGACACGCTCAGTGCTTCACCTCACCATCTGGGAGACGTGGTGAAGAATCCTGCTTTGGCCTGACTCACAAGGGCATCACAGAGGACAAACGAGAACAAAATGACAAGAGCAATAAGAAAATGCTTTGAAAAGGAAAGAGCTTTACAAACAAGGAATTATTATTTTTTCTTTCAGGGTCCTCCCCAGTAGAGCTGAGACAATCACAGAAGGGCTGTTTGTCTAATTGCTGATGAGCCTTTCCCACGGCTGGCCTAATGGGACTGACTCAGACGCATCTGGCTCCCTCACTCGGCAAATCATCTCCACCGAAATGTCCCAGTCGCTATAGTTAGTACTTCCAGGGGATGGGGCCCCATCTTCTTTCCACCACCCTGCCACCCACAGCCAATGGGTACAGAGGTGATGCCTGCTGACAGACATTCACACTCCCCATCCTACCCTCCGTGCCACAGGCCTCGGCGCAGAGGACCTGAGAAAGTCACCTCCTCCATCACTTCCCCTCTGGCTGGACTTCCAGAAGCTGGATCAGACAGGAGGCTTCCTCCTGCCTATGTCCAGGACCCAGGAAGGGAGATTCCAGGATCTGAGAGCCAACCTATTCCACAGAGTTCGAAACAAAACAATAACAACAACAACCCTTTATAGAGGCTAAACATTTTCTATTCCATCTCACATCCATCTTTTCTGCAGCAATTTCTCTCTCTCATTCAAATTAGAGTAGAGTTGGGGATGGGAATGTTTAAATGATAAGGTTTTCACCCAAACCATCAATTGTGCTAACACTCCATCTTTGGCTGTGTGTGTAAAAGGCAGAGCAGGTAGCCACACTCTGGATCTGCGAGGTCCTAGCCTAGCCTTTCTCTGTCTAAACTTATCTCACACACACCCAGAACTGTTCTATTCCCAGAAGTACTTCAACCAATTTCTGTGCACAGAGCCCTTTTGTGTTTTTTTTTTCCTTTTTTTATTGTGAAATTTTTGTTGTACATTATTGTTTATCAGTCACCATATAAGTGCATCCCTCCACCCCTTGTGCCCACCCCCCACCCCCCTTGCCCCTGGTAACCACCAAACAGTTCTATCTGTCCATGTATTGGTTTATCTTCCACACATGAGTGAAATCATGCACACTTTGTCTTTCTCTTTCTGGGATAGAGCCCTTTTAAAATGCAAATATCTCTGAAGGAAGGAACCATATTCCACTGGCCCTGGCCCACTTCTCACACAGCACCTGTGCCCAATAAATATTTACTGAATTAAATTGGGTACTAGACGCCTGTCCTCACGGGACACGGGTCAGCGCCCAGGGCTGTGGAGGGCGGGGTGTGCAGGAGGCAGCCTGGCCAGGGAGCCACGCCTCATTTCACCAGCCTCACTGGGTCGGTGGCCTAGAGCAGCCCTGCCTGCCACAGCAAGATAACTGAGTTCTGATGAAAGTAAATCTGAACTAGCCAAATATGGAAACACTGCAGGAGGGGGCAGAACCCGCGAGCAAGTCAGCGCTGCCGCCCAGTGGGGTTAGCAGCAAGAGAGTGGCCCCAGTATTCACCGAAGATTCTCAGAATTGCCAAAACCCTGATGAGCAGTAACTAACGAGGGGGAGACAATCTGGTGTGGAGAGCCCAGATTCCACTAATTCTCTGGGTGTCCCCGGGCAACTCAGCTCACCTCTCTGAGCCCCGCTTTCCTCCAAGAACCCTTGGAGCTCGCCTTGGGGGTGTGTGTGTTGTGTTTCTAAATGAACACGCTCAATCGAACGGGTCATGGAGGTTTCCATTCATTCCAATATTAAAGTTTCGTTCTCGAGTGCTCTGGCTGGGAAAGTCTTGCACAAGTGGAGCGGTGCCTAAGGATATGGAGGGGGAGCCAGAGGTTTGCAGTGCGGGCGTGAGGGGCACCCCAACCTGAACCTGGCCCCTCCAGTCCACCAGCTCGCTCTGGAGCTGCTCGCCAGCTCGGGACCCCCAGCCTCCGCCGTCCTCGCCACATCTCTCCCCTGCTAAGAAAACCCGCCCCAGGCCCCGGAGCCCAGCTGCCCCCCACAGCGCACTCACTCGTCCGCATCAGCGGCCGCCTGCGCCGCCGGCCTCCCCCGACTCCGGGCCCGGGCCCCACCGCCTCTGGCCCGGCCTGGCCGCCTCCCGCGCCCTCCCCGCGCCGGTCGGGGACTCGCCGGACGCGAGGGGGACGGGCGGCCAGGCAGGGTGCCCGCAGCGCGGCGCGGGGAGCGGGGAGGCGGCTTCTGGGCTCGTGCCTCCGCGGCGCTTTCGGTTTCAAAGTAAATGGGACGAGCCGAGAAGCGCTCCTCGGTCCCCCCGCTGCAGCCCTACAGCCGTGCGGCTTCACCCCCCGACCGGCCAGGACTCACGTGGGGCTCCGCGCGGGCTCCGCGGGCGCCGGTCCGCAGGCGCGCGGCTACTCCGGGCAGCGGCCGGCGGGGGCGAGGCTCTCAGCCCCGGAGCCCCGACCGCGGAGCCCCGCCCGGGAGGAAGGAGGGGCGGGCCGGGCCCGGGAGGGGCGGGTTGCGGGCGGGGCCCAGGGGAGTGGTCCGGGCGAGGGGCGCAGGCTGGGGGAAGGGCGGATGCGCAGGGGCGTGTTGGGTCGGAGGCTGAGAGGCAGTAACCTGAGCAGTCAGAACTCCAACCTACCCTCACTAGAATCATTAGTACCTACAAACAAAAATCGTCTCTGATTTCCCTCCAGTACCTTTGAACTGTACACGTCTTACCCTTCAACCAGGGATAACCAGGCTCAACCAATCCTTTCCTGTTTTGACCTGTTAGCCAAGGACTGAGGTCTGACTCAAATCAGACTTCCCCAGACCTTCCTTCAAATTCGCCAGCCCTCCTCCTTGCTGCTGGCCTAGCAACCCCTTTCTAGAGCTTGCCGGCGTACCAAGGGCTTCTCAAACATCTCTTTGGATGTTCAAAACAACCTTGCGAAGCAGGCCTGGTCATCCCCATTTTACAGATGAGCTCTCTGAGGTCCAGAGAAGTGACAAGAAGTGATGTGCCCAAAGGAAGTGCTATAGCTACAACTTGAACTTGAATCCAGGTCTCCTGACTCCTAAATATAGGTCTCTTTCTTACCATACTGCTCTCCCTGAGCATGTGTTCTGAATGATATTTGTATTCTATATAAATCTCCTCTATGAAGATTGAAGGCGCATAAAGAGCGTGAACCTGGAATGAAACGGACCTGAATTTCAATGCTAGCTCCTTCTCTTTCAGGTAGGCAACCGTGGGAAAGTTACTTAACTGCCTGGAGCTTCAGTTACTCATCAGTACAAGAGGAGAATAATACTACGCACCACTCAGATATGCGTAGCAGCTGGGCAGGAAACACACAGGAGGGAGGCAGAGGTTGCCGTCATGAGGAGGGGGAGGGCCACTGGTGCACTGAAGAGCATGTGTGGGCTCTAGAGGAGCAGCAGGCTCGGTGCCCACCTGTCCTTGCCTGAGCTCTTATTTTTCAGCAAGAGCCAGAAATCCAGAGTCAAACCTTTTAGTTGGTGAGAATCAGATTCACCACTCCGTGGGGAGATGGGGCCTGTGGGCATTGCTTTGGGACTCCAGATCCACCTCACAATCTCGTGAGAATTAAATGAGATGACATTCCTGTACTCCTGACTCAGAATAGGTGCCCCGTGAAGCTTAGTTTCTCTCCCTGTTCCCTCCTACAAGACACCTCTCATGGTTGCCTACTTCCTGCCTCTTTTCTCATTACTCACCCACCATCCCCCCACCCCATCCAGCCTTCTACAAGCCAATATGTTTTGTAAAGGTATATCTCCTTTTGCTGGCTAGGAACACGAATGTCTAGTATGCACATACGCAGGTATGCTCACGCCCCTGATACGGCCATTGACCATGATTCAATTGTCTCTCCCCACCCTTCTTCCCCATCAACTGAATAAAGCAGCCAATTTGCCCCAAGAGTGATATCCAAGCTTTAAATACAATGGAATCAGATGCTGGGTAGATAGAATGGGAAGTGGGGGCCTTGTGACTCCAGGGCTAGGAGTCTAATTGGGGAGGCAGAGGAATTTTAGATGAATGTTAGTTGGAAATCAAGGACATGTTCCCAGTTCCTCTTGTTGATCACAGGATCCTGGGCAGGGTGTCTGGGAGAATAGACAGACCCTGGGACCTAGCGAGTCTGATGGAGGAGACATGATCCTTTTCCTCAAGGATCTTGAAGATGGATGGGAAGGACAGGACACAGATGTACATATATAAAAAAAAAAAAAACATTAAAAACTTGCAGATGATAGCTAACATTGTCTTATTATACACCAGATACTGTGCTCAGTGCTTTATCCACATTAACCCATTTAATCATCACCCCTATTTTATAGATGAGAAAACTCATCTCTTGAACAATTTGCCCAAAATGCAAAATTCTTGGTTTGGAAGAGATAAAATTTGAACCTGGGAAGTCTGGTTCTGGTGCCCTTAACTACTACGCCACCCTGCCCCTCAAAGAAATGGCTGGTGTGAATTCACACAAAACAACTTTAATAAGGAGACATATTTAGCAGTTTTAGTGTCCTGAAAATATTTGCAGTGTTATAAACAGAATCCAGTCTTCAAACTAAATTCATCTACAAAAATCAGGACAGGATTGGACTATATGCTAAATTTTTACACAGAAGAAAAGGGCTAAACTTTTTATCCCTTTCTTTTAAACACCCTAAGATTACCTCTAGACTTCAGAGAGACATGGCTTTCAGCTGTTTAATTTCCTGGATGAAAAGATAGGGTAAGAGATTGCAGCCCTGGCTGTCAACGGAAAGATGGTGCTGATGGAGAGGGGAGGGCGCCACCTACTGGAACAGTAGACGGATGCATTATCTTCCTTAGGCTGCCCATCTGTGACAAGACTGATGGAAATGCAGTAGTCGGTTAGTTAGAACAGAATAAAAAGTCATCCCTTCCATCACCTAGACATCAGTGATATCAGCCAAGGAGGAAAAATCCCCTCCTTGGGCCTTAGATTGCACCTGTAACTTCCATTGCAAGTTACAATGGAAAGTCTTTGCCCGTAACGGAACCACACGTGGAAAGTGTGATATCGCAGCCAAACCACTCCCAGGCAAAAAGCAAAACCTCAGGGTCCTGCACACACAGCATGCTCACGAAGGAGGTCCTGCATTGAGGCAATCAATGAATGAATGTCTGTGGGTTTTCTGTGTTTAACTTCTTGACCCAGTGATACGTGGTCCCTTTGCTTCAGATAACCTTTACCCCAGCTCTGCCTGTCAGTGTGCTGACCACCACAAGAAGAGAGGCAGGGAGTGCTGAGGGCAGGGGCTTCTCCCAGGACTGATGTAGTTTAAAACAAAAAAAGACTCCTTTTCCAAAGACTCTTTTTCAAGAGTCTGGGTGTACCACAGTTTATTTATCCATTCATCTACTGAAGGACGTCTTAGTTGCTTCCAAGTTTTGGCAATTGTGAATAAAGCTGCTGTAAACACTCATGTGCAGGTTTTGGTGTGGACATACCTCTCCTATGTAAGTGCATCCAGCAGCTATGCTTTTAGTTTAGGAGCTCAAGAAAGACCCATGTTTCTTTTGTTCTATTTGCTTCACTCTATTCTTATCTATTGTGTGTGTAGGTTCAGCACCAATTTGAAAAAAGCAGACTCATGGTGTACCTGTGGCCATATATTCTGTATTTTTTCCAGGGGGGACCTCACTCAACACACACACTCACCCCTCCCCTTCTCTGTTCATGGTTTGATTGTCTGATAGTCAACCTTTTTGTTGGAGAAATGAGATTTTTATTGTCTTAAAATTAGGCCTGCTGTCTTCATTGTATGCTTGGCGAAATGTGGATTCTGTCCATTTTGACAATTCCTTTAATAAGATTCACACATGCAATGCCCATCAGTGCTTGGAAAAACATTTTAACACGTTAATCCTGCATAGTCTGTAAGACATTAAAATAAGGATTTTAAGGTTATTATTTAGCCTTAAGAACCATGAAGTAAGATCACGGATTTGATTGGCACAGTTTTAGACTTTGCAATAGGTTGGTAACAAGGAAGACCATTTATTTGTTATTTCTCCTTTTTGAGAATGGTGCCTACTCTATATGGAGAGATTTTAAACAATGCTCTAGTAACTCTGGTTAGCCATCCTCCATTTCACAGAAAACAGGACAGAAGCATTAAAAACGAAAGGCATAAGCTCAGGAGGGGCTTATCCTGGGAAAAATTGACAAATAAAGTTCAAATGTCTTTGACTCCAGCCACAACCCAGTATTCCATGACCTTGTCCCTCATCCCAAGAAATCCCCTGAGATCTTCTGTAGGCACAATGAGGGCCTCCCGTTATAGTACACCATCTGGGGCTGCTGCATCCATTGCACATACTTTTGTTTCATACTTTCTTTTTCTTTTTTTAAACAACTTGACTGTTATACTTTTAATACCATAAAATTCACTCCATCGACGAATTTTAGTACAGTCATGCCTTGCTTAACGACAGGGATACGTTCTGAGAAATGTGGCATTAGGTATTTACGTCGTTGTGTGCACATCATAGAGTGTACTTACACAAACCTCGATGTTATAGCCTACTACACACCTAGGCTATATGGTATAGCCTATGGCTCCTATGCTACAAACCTGTACAGAGTGTTACTGTACTGAATACTGTAGGCAATTGTAACACAATGGTAAATAGTTGCGTATCTAAACATATCTAAGCATAGAAATACTACAGTAAAAATATGAAATAAAAGATAAACCATGGTACATCTGTATAGCGCACTTGCCATGAATGGAGCTTGCAGGACTGAAGTTGCTCTGGGTGAGTCTGTGAGTGAGTAGTGAGTGAATGTGAAGGCATGGGACATTACTGAACACTGCTGTAGACTTTGTAAACACTGTACACTTAGGCTACACTAAATTTATAAAAAATATTTTTCTTTAATAATAAATTAACCTTAGCTTACTGTAACTTTTTTACTTTATAAACTTTAATTTTTTAAACTTTTTGACTCTTTTGTAATAACATTTAGCTTAAAACAAAAACACATTGTACAGCCATGCAAAAATATTTTCTTTATCCTTATTCTATGAGCTTTTTCATATTTAAAAAAATTTTTTTAATATTTTTTAAGCTTTTTTGTTAAAAACTAAGACACAAACACATACATTAGCCGAGACCTACACAGGGTCAGGATCATCAATATCACCGTCTTCCACCTCCACATCTTGTCCCACTGGAAGGTCTTCAGGGGCAATAACACCCGTGGAGCTGTCATCTCCTATAACAACACCTTCTTCTGGAATGTGTCCTGAAGGACCTGCCTGAGGCTCTTCGTGAGGAGGTGTCACTTTTCAGAAATATGCCCATGGTGGTTTGGTTGGTTTGTTTCTTTTTTTTTTTTTTATCATAGATTTGCTTGTAAGCAGATAGTGTACTATGAACTTTC